ATTTCTCAAAACAAGACAATATGTTTTGCTCGTCAAGAAAATGCTTCTTGATATGAGAAATTTTAGATATTTAGACTAGAAACAAGACAAATCTATACAAGAAAAGCATTTTTTGCAGTGCAGAATTTAAGTAGGCTAATATACAGATTAATTCTCGTAACGTACTGCCATGATCACAACACATTATGTTTATAACTACCGTTAAAGAGCTGAATAAACACACTTATCTCTGGATGGTTCCTGTATTGTTTACAATGAGGTAAAGTTGGTTTTATATTTGCACATTCTGACATTCTCTTTAATATTGTCTCTTCAGACAAGTAGGGACATTCTGACTTTCTCCTTATTATTATTTCAGAAAAGTATGCTTTGCCAATTCTAAATAGGCAGAATCATATTAGCAGCCAAATGACTGTCAAAGTATGACATTGTTCACAGTAAGTTAAATAGTGCTAATGTTGTTTTGAAGTAATTCAACATTTCAGATCGAATATTCAAAGTATTGTGTTAAACTGTATCAGCACGTGGCACGTGAGTTATTCACAAGCCCCTGCACATATACTAATGTGCCACAAACAGGATGTTAATGTCACCAACCATTCCCATTTTATTAAGATGTATCCATATAAATGGCCCACCCTGTATTATTAACCGGAAAGCCCTTTCTCTTTTGCTAACTTTACCTCAGTTGCAGTGTTTTGTGCAGATGTAGAGAGCTGGAACAGTGGGCTATTCATCACATAATCTGCGCATGTGACTGACCGCCCTGCACTCATTGCAGACTGTGACTAATAATGCAATCTGGTTAATCAGGAGCTCTTGAAGCTCTGCTTGAGAGATAAGAAGGTTTTTTTTTTTTTGTGTAACTCTGTTGATTTTCCTTCTTGTTTTTGTTCAGGCGTCTCGGAGTGGAGCTGGGGAAGTCTGTGGTTTATCAGGAGTCAAACAGAGGTGATCAATAATGCTTCATTTACACACAAACTCTTTTGATGGTGGCCGAGGGTGACCCTTGGAAATACAGACATATAGAGCTGCATGATATTGGAAGAATCTGTCATTGCAAAAATGAAGAGACTTTTACCAGATTAACTGAATAATGGAAAAAACCTATCATTTTTGATTGAAAAATTTTAAAGGGGACCTGTCATGCCAAAATGAAATGGGGGGTTTAAACAGTTGTGTGGCAGCAGTCTATGAATATAGCCAGCTTCCAATGGTAAACATTTATTCATTTTCTTTTTTATAATCGCACTTGATAAAAACAGCAGAAGCAGAAATCTGCAGAAACAATTTGATTGATATTCTCGCTTTATCAAAGCGGGAAAGCCCCGCCCATTAGTGATGATTTCTTCCTTATTAGCATAAACAGCCTTGAGTGAGAAGCAGCTGACCACCATTAGAGTTTTGACTTGCTGGATAATGTCATCAACTAAGAGATATTGGCTGTTTCTCAATTCCAAGAACGCAGAGAACGGATTTGCGTTCTTGTGGAGACCGGTCTTGCCAGGTGTCCTCGGAAAAACGAACTCAGGAGACCGCAAGGGCAGAGAACGCATCCTTTGAGAAATGAGATGCTGCGTTCTTCCTGATGGTCACATGACCTTTACGCGTTTTAAATGGTCAATTATTTTAACATTTCAGCGTTCATACAACGATTTATTGTTTTCCACCCTTTTCAAAATAAATACTTTGCATAAAAACATAATCAATATACTCTGCACAATATAAATAAAACATTTTATTACGAATTTCAGCAAACAAACACCCTTAATGTGTTTATTCCTTTATTAAAATGTCCATGGTAATGTTTCATTTAGTGAAACTCCTGAGGTAGATAAGTTTCATCTCCGAACTTTAATAATACATCTAAATAAAATGCTGCGCTTCCCACCTCCAATCGCAGTGACTTCTGGGACTTCTAGAGCGTGTTCGGTGCTGAAGTCTGCATCGGTGCGTCCTTGATATTAAGATCACATCCGGGAAGTTTCCCGTGTCCTCTGTTCTTGCGGTCTTGGGTATTGGAACTGAACTTTGGCAGCTGATGATGATGTTACACGAGGACGCAAGACCGCTGAAGAACGCATATTGAGAAACAGCCATTATATATGCTAGAACATAGAACATGCAAACTCCACACAGAAATGCCAACTTACCTAGCTGGGATTCGAACCAGTGACCTTCTTGCTATGAGGCGACAGTGCTAACCACTGAGCCACATATTCATTCATTAATTTTCTTTTCAGCTTAGTTCCTTTATTAATCATAGGTCCACATAGTGAAATGAACCGCCAACTAATCTAGCATATGTATCACCCATCCAGCCGCAACCCAACACTGGAAAACACTCATACACACTTTTTCACACTCATACACTACAGCCAATTTAGCTTATACAAATTCACCTATAGTGCATGTGTTTGGACTGTGGGGGAAACCGGAGCACCTAGAGGAAACCCACGCGAATGAAGGGAGAACATGCAAACTCCACACAGAAACGCCAACTGACCCAGCAGAGGCTCGAACCGGCGACCTTCTTGCTGTAAGGCGACAGCACTATCTACTGCGCTACTGCATCGCCATGGGGATATCTTCAAATATAGTTGTGATTAATCGAAACGCAGTTAGAGATATCTACATTTACCTTTGCGGATATTTATATATGACACATCTTTTAGAGATATCTTCAACATCCTTCGAGATATCTTCAACTGAGTTTTGATTAGAGAAAATTTATTTACAGATGCCTCGAATCTGATTTCTTACTAGTACAATTGTAATTGCAGATAATCGTCATTCTGACTAGTCGAATTATAATTATCACTCATCAAAATATAATTAGAGATATCTTTAAATATATCTATGGATAGTCAAAACAAAGGTTTAAATGCTTAAAAGGCTTGCCATGTTGCGGGAGATGGGGTTGAGCGTGACGTATGTAAACTTGTGAACTTCATTTGCAATGAAAATTGTAAAACTGGTGAAAGTTCAACGATAAAAACCTCTGCCATATTTGTTCAAATGTCTCAAATAGCTGTTATCTAGAAGAAAACAACAACTCTAAAATCAATTTATTTTATTTATTTATTTATGGATAAT